TTGTGAGAAATAAAGCTAATTCAATTTTCTCCGCAATTACAACAAATTGCAGGTTTTGTACCATGCGAATAGGTTTCAATCTTATCTTCATGACCGGTCTTGCCTGCCACACCAGCTAGATGCAGCTTCTTTATTACTGTATCCGAAATATTTTCCTCACCATTACATCCAATTTAGATTAAAAAGGCTGCGAGGATGGTGAATTAGAGAACACAATTCAATTAACAATGCTTGGCTCTCAGCAGGACTGGACATGTGGAGAAGTGCCTGAGGGAGATGATGGTGATTTCTTTTTGATGCCACTACAGTCAGCGAGGACTCACAATGCTCAGAACGGATTACTGTATCTTGAGGATTTCACATAAACAATGCCAGCCCACGTGCGCTGCGCACTTCTCGGACGTCTCGCCCAAAGGAATTAAGCTTCCGTGTCAACAAAAACAAGCCCGGCTACCTTACACGTAGCTCTAGATTTAGCATGAAAGTGAAGTTGTGCTGTGTTGATTAGCCTCCGTGGACACTGCTCCACATTGGTGATGTTGAAACTGCACAGAAAAGATGTCGTGCAGCCTCATTTCAGACATGAGAATTACATCATGTTTAATTCTTCTCCAATGAGATTAGCAGCAGGTAAGAATGATCTCAGTGCGCCTAATGAATTACATGAAATGAGATTTGGCTGCAATCATAGTAACCATTCAAGACTGATGGGGCAGCCAAGACTGGATCACCAGATAATAACATTTCTGTCATTTTCTGTGGTAACAATTGAATTTAGAGTAATTTGATACTGATGCTGAACAGAAGCTTTAAAGGAGGTAGAGGATAAAACCAAAAGATCATGCAGACAAAGATACACTTGTGTGTCACTGTGACAAAGAGTTATGTGAGGTCTGGTGCTTTTGTCATTCTGAGCAAGAAGAAGAAGAAGAAGAAGATGCCTACAGCTGAACAAGTGTTTTGGCCCGTGGCGATGCCGCGCGGCAAAAAAGAGAACGATAGGAACATGCATATGAGCAAATGCTAAGCAGTGACAAATGAAGGAAACAAATGTGAGCAAGTAACATCTTTGTCATTTCATTGATGAATACAAGAGCCTATTTGTCAGCGCCCGACGCAGAACACTTGTCCTGGGATAGTGATGTATTCAGATAATACAAAGCAACTCATTCACAGCCTCTGTTTGCTGCGATGTGGTTAGATTTATCACGCGGCAGATGTTGGGGGTCTTTTTTTTTTCCAAAACAGACACACAGGTGCAGGTGTCGGGGGGATGCAGTTTACAACTGTGACAATGATGGGAAACAGCTGGTCCAGGAGTCATTCTCCACGACCTCCACGCATTTGAATTGCAACCTCTGAATAAACCTGTCAGATGTGGTTAGGTATGGGCTGCTGGGGCAATTTTCCAATGCGGGCCACCTCCTCTCTCCTTCTATCTGCTAAATATGCGATGTTGATGCTGGAGTCTCTGGGGAACTTGCCTTGACAGTGCGGCAGGAGACTCTCTTGGCAAATGCACAAAGGCTCTGACTCTAAGCCTAATATATTCATTTACTGGCAGCTGTGGATTTTACAGCCAGCTTCCCATAAGACTGTGCAGGTAAGCTACAAGACCGCATCACAATAATAGCTGCATTAACAAGTTCATACTCTTTATGCTAACATGCATGTTTGCAAGCCAAAAAACTACATGTGGTGGACTGGTGAGTGCTGCATTTGAATTCAATTCATGCAGACTAATATTTAACCCCGTACACATCTTTTAAAAGGGCTGCTTCACCCAAAATCCAAAACACACAGTGGTATGTAGTCAGGAGAGACAAGGTTTAGAGTAATTTGTCTCTGATATCTCTGCTTAAAATGAATACAATGATAGGAGTGATTTTGTTGGGGAGGGCATCTGTGTCCAAAATAAAAAACTGTGTTTAAAAAAAAGCTGAAAAATGACTGCAAATTGCTTCGAACCTTTCTCATATGGCGCGTCACTGTCTCGGGCCTCTGAAATCCCTTTTTTTGCTCCAGTTGGCATTCAGATCTGGCTTTGCACTCATCATACAGAGCTTTGTGGTATGATTTTAAAGGTCAAACAAATTAGACACATTGCCTTGTGCGGCAGCTTCATTTGCCAGACGCTGACATTAGTGGAAATATTTGCATAAAACTGACGAAGGCTGCATGATTATGACCAAAATGGTAATCATGATTATTTCTGATCAATACTGAGATCATGATTAGGGTTTTTAACCACAATTGATTTCAGAAATTTTAGCTGGCACTGATTTTACTTTGATGTTGTGCTACATTCCTGCTAATTAACAACAAATCTGCATCAAAATGAGACTTAGAGTATACGGCTCTTCTTCACCTGAATTTAGAGAAACTTCTGGAGGTAAAATGAATAAAATTGTAATCAAAATGCCTCACTTGCTGATTATCTGTTCATTGATTGACACTACAGTTCACCACTGTTTCTGAAATGCCACAAGCCAGCTGTGCACAGAGAAGCTTCTAGTCTCCACTTCTCGCTGTTTCCGTCCTGTTTCTTGCTCATTTTGCCGTGCACATCGACAAACTACATGCCTTCAAATAAAGTAAAAATAAAATCCCAAAAGCCCTAAATAAGTATTGTTCATTCAGATAGACTTATTTTGCAGATGAGTGATGGAAAATGAGAATCGTGTGGGTTGATGTGTTTCCATTAATTTGCCGCACTTTACATCACACTTGACACAACAGGACTATTGCTCTTGCACACATTATAATGTCAATGCTGAAATAATACATTCTGCAGCTGTAGTGGAAAATTAGATTTCAAAAGAACATTCCACACTGTTACATACAAAACGGGGACAGCGTTTTAATACACTTTGGCATCTCAACAGATAACAGGGGCTGGTTGACTTGAACTTTTTTACTTTTTCTTTCTTTCTTTTTTTAAAAATATACAGTAAGTGCCAAGAACAGGTGTAGTTCACAGGAACATTTTCAATGACACAGGTAGGAATAAAAGACCTATGCATTGGAACATGTTTTCCCAAAAAGGGAAGGGAAGTAAGTAATTTTCAAAAAGGGCAGAAGCTGCACTGACCAGCTCCATATCAGGTGGATTAGACTAAAACAACCTTGTTTACTGTCCAATGTAAAGAAAACTACAATTAATTGAGTTCACTTGTATTTGGGAGATGCTCACGCCCAGCATCAGTTCCTGTGATGCTATGAAGCAGCAAATATAAAGCAGTCTGTCGGTTAGCTGTGAGGAACAACATGAGTTCACTTTCTTATCCTGCATTTGTTTGCAACAACCCATAGATTTACAGACAACTACCGCTGCAATAATGCAAGGAAAGTTCAACAGTGATGAATCTTTGGCGAGTTCTACAGTCGCAAGGGTGATTTTTTTTTATCTTACTCACAATGGATAATGGCGTAATAATGACATTTATGGAAAAGTAAAGTATTCTGAATCTTAAAATATGTGTTTTTTTAAGCGCTATCATTCTGAGAAGGAGCCTGATGTTCATCACAGGTTGTGTTCAATGAGGCACTGAGGGGTTTGACTCTTTGCCTCCTTTAGCTCCATCCTTTGGCTTTGCTGCTGCTGCTGCTGCTTCAACTGCCACCGCGGTGGTGAGCACTCAGATCAGCAGCCAAACCACCACCACAGCTAACTTCCTGTTGTTTTCAGAACATCAACATGCATGAACACAACGCTCAGTATTCCTTGCCTCATGTCTCTCCCTTCAACTCTCCCGTCCTCCCTGGGGAGAGGCGCCTCACAGTTGGAAACCTCTGATCCACAGTAACCAGGACATCGCCAGTTGAAAAAGAATTTGCTGCTGAATTTTTTTTTAAAGTCAGTTTTAAACAAAACTCCAGACACCTTACATTGTTTTGAGGCTATAAACTATATGAAATTGAGTAAATCTGCATTATCAGATACAAAAGAGGTACAAAATTAAACTAATGCTAACGCTCAGATCTGGTTGCAGTAGCAGCTCTGTTAGCCAGACAAAACCAGGATGTGGCAACGTTCTTAAAATGAAGCTGTGAGGTCTGGACTATTGTTTAAAGCAGGATTACACTGAGTCAGCTGGAATAGCTGGTTAAAGTGAAGGAAAGATCACAGTTGGGGTTCATAAAAAAATGACAAAAAAAATTGTTAACTGCAGGTTTATGACGACTCCGATCCGACCTTCACACCCTCGTACTTTATCACTGCTCATTGCTAATGTCAGAGTTATTCACGTGGTTTAATCGTAGCAAACTGGACTTGCTTGAGTTTCTTGGAGACGTTTCAGCTCTCATCCAAGCAGCTTCATCAGTTCTGACTGACTGGTTGGGAGATCCAGATGCTTATATTCTTTCGGAGCCATCAACGCTTGAGTTTCGGTTTCAGCAGGAGGTTTGTTGCTCCTCCCCCTCGTTATGCAAGTCGTTAGGCCTCCCCCTGTCACAGTGGGGTTCGTTAGGGTCTAGGTGTGAATGTGGTTTCATCTCGATAAAACATTCAACTCGTATAATGAGGGGGGAGGAGCAACAAACCCCCAGTTGGAAGCAAAACTCAAGTGTTAATGGCTCCTAAAGAGTAGAGGTGAAACGTCTTCAAGAAACTCAAGCGAGTCCAGTTGCTACGATCAAACTACGAGAATAAGCATGACCTGACCTGGATGACTGAGAATCTTAATGTCAGAGCTGATATGCAACTCATTCCTCGTCTACACACAAGCAAAGAATGAATAATATATTTAAAAAAAGTTTTCAGGGTAAGAAAACAGTCAAATTATTTGCTTACGAAACCTGAAATATCAATTTTAGGATCTGATTTTTATATGAAACAGAGAAAAGCTGCAAATTCTCAAATTTGAGACACTGGGAGGAGCGAGTGTTTAAACTAAAAATGATAAATTTTCCTTCAACTGGCAGCATACCACAATGACAAGCATAAATAGTGTGTGTGGTCTCACTGCTGACTTGGTGTATTGTTGTAATATACTCACATATTCGCCGTATGTGTCCTGGACTATGGGAGGAGCTGGCCTGTAGCCTGCGGTTGGGGGGGCACCTCTGGCTCTCTGCACCCCCCTCCCTCTGGAGGACGGAGCCCGGCTGGGTGGGGCTCCTCTGGGTGCCGCTCCTCGAGGCACCGCCGCATGCAGGGGAGGAACTCCACCGCGACTCCTGACACCGGACACAAACGCCAGGGTTAGACGCAAGAGCAGGAAAGCTAATACAGGTTTTAATCAATTCCTGTGAATTACTAGAGGGAGGAATATGTGTGTGTGTGTGTAGGTAAGATGCACTTTGCAACATGTTTAAGTGCTCTTTGTCTTTGAGGCATTAAAGATCCTGTTGCAAGGATGCTAGTAAACAGCGCATCATCAATATGAGATGTCCGATGCATTCCACATCTTCATGATGAGCTGCTATAATTCATTATGTTAGCAGTCAAGCTGCCTCGTCTGCTTCCACTCCAGTTAGCGAGTTCCTGCATCGGCCAGAATGACTCGACTACAACTGCAGCGATGGATTTGATGCGTTCGGCTGGCAGGTTACATGTGTAGGCGGAGAGGGAGGAACAGCGAGGGTGGAGGGCAAGTTCCTCCAGTCGAGAAGAAGTGAGTCACATCCATTACTCAAAACACAGCATGTCTTGTGGCAGAAATGCTTTAATGCCTATTAAGGAAATAAAGATATTTTAAAAAAGTCTTTCTGCCTGTTTTATGATGAATGTTTTGTTGTGTTTGTTGATTTGCAAATGTTCATCCTTGAAGTAAAGCCTTACGTTTGGACTCTGAGGAGCTGGCACACAACCCAGATTTTATTTTTTTTCATACCATTAATGTTTTAGATATTACAGCTTCTGAAATTTAGAACGTGCAAGTTCTGCTTTTAATATTTCAGTAAACAAGCATGTCCCTCATAAAGCTCCGCAGCAAAACAGTGAGAGATACTGATGTGCGCGGTCAACTCGACGAATTAACGGAGAACCCAGAGCGCTGTGAGGAAGACAGGAGCGAGTACAAGCTGCTCTGTTGGAAATCAAAGGCAGCCTGACCTTGTGGTTTGGTAGAATGTTGCATGAGCTTTTTTACACCGACCAAGCTTTCCTTTAAAAGCAGTTAACTGATCTGAAGCAGCAGCAGAAAACCGCCAAGGTTGCCGTCCGGGTCATTTTCTTTGTACGCTTTCCATTTTAGCAGCTTTCCATGTTTCTGTGGCGGCACATCACAGATTTGGGGCAGGATGAGAAAAAAAAGAAGTCTTAATTGTGTGACTAACGGGGACAGTGGGGGATGTTTACTTGATAGAAATTGGACCGCCCTCAAGCGTGGAAAAAAAATAAAAAATCAAGCGCTGACAGTGGATTCCTCTTTAAGAGCAAGACTTCTCTTTTAGCTCCAGTCAAAGTCAAATCAAAAAGGAACAGCACTGACAAAATCTCCATTCAGAGCAGTGGTATGGATCAAAATCGAGCATATGTCAGTGTAAATATATAGAAAACTGCATGCAGGTTCCAGTGTAGGCGCCTGTGGGACTTCTGTCCTATCACATGCACATTAGGCATGGTAAATGCTAATTACAGTGTAATTTAAAACACGGCCAATTATATTCTGACTCAGAGCAAGACAAACACCCGATCTCAGTGACCTTGTTTATCTCAAAATCTGATGAAAGAAGTGTGTTTTCTTCTATAAACACAAAGCGCAAACAACACAGCTCGCCTTTTCTCTCTCTCTTTTTTTTTTTTTTTAGTTTAAAGCCCAGCGTCATCGCACACAGCGTTAAAGTCTTCTAATGGCCGTGAGTATTTATATTTGTAATCTTGTGAGGTCTCAGAGGAGCTGAAATTAGCGTGGGTTCACAGATATTGTAGAAAGCCAAGCGTCTACTGGAGCTAATTTGCATATAAAGGCTTTTATGCAAATGTGGCTTTGCTTCGCTAATGTTTATGGACAGCAGACATTGCATCACTGTATTCCAGTAGACACTATTTACTATCCGTGTTGTTTTCCAATTATAGGTGCTCGCTCGCCGGCCTGACCCATTTCATCACACGCGAACGTCTCCGTTAAAACACGTTCGACGCAACATGAAACAACTTTAGATTGAATCAGCGTAAGTACGTCACAACACAATGATAGTACAAAAAGATATCGATGCAATTTTAGAATAAGTAAAAATAGAAAATATTACGACCACTTAATTTTTATTTAAAGGCAAATAATTAAGTATATTTTTTCAAAAACAGAAATTAAATTAATAAATTCAATTAAATATTGAATTATAATATAAATAAAATATAAATAAATAAATAAAAATAAATAAATAAATAAATAAATAATAAATAAATAAATAAAATAAAAAATATAATATTGAATTTCCCTTAAAATTGGAATTTCCCTTAAAATTGAATTTCCCTTAAAAATTGAATTTCCCTTAGAATTGAATTTCCCTTCTGGGATAAATAAATAAATAAATAAATAAATAATAAATAAATAAATAAAATAAAAAATATAATATTGAATTTCCCTTAAAAATTGAATTTCCCTTAAAATTGAATTTCCCTTAAAAATTGAATTTCCCTTAGAATTGAATTTCCCTTCTGGGATAAATAAAGTATTTTTCATTCATTCATTCATTCATTCAATAACACAACCCTGAAGCATCACCTCTGTGATTAGCGATGGAGACCTCATGCTCCTGATTAAGGTGAAGATGACGTCATTACCAATAGGTCGTATGAAAAAGCACAATAACTCCCACGTGAAAAACAAACAGTTGGGTGGAGAGTGCTGGATTCTAATTGCCTGCCAATGCACAAAGGAATAACAGGATATTATGCAATGTGTAATCCAGCATTACTGCTTGTAACATCATTACAGTAATGAGTTTAAAACTGGGCGGTTTCAGCCCCCTTTGAGGGAAAACAAGGAGGTCTTTTTTTGGCTTATATAAATGACCTGCTATTTATAGGTAAACTATTAAATTACAGTGTTAAGTGTGGGATTTGACATGCTAAGTATTGTTTTGTACAGTATGTAAATGAAAAAACAAAACAGGAAAAGTGTATTTTAAAAGTTCTTTATCTCATAAATTTCCACACTGATGGTTAAGTAGATTCCTGTTTGTTATATTATCACTCTGCAGCTTCATGGCATTAAGTGTTTTTTATGACTTCAGAGGAATTACAGGAGATATAAGGTGGAAAGGCTGTGAAGTTTGATGGAAAGTTTTCATGCTAAGAAACAGGATCACACAGATTCTGACAAACTGCCTCTTTATATTGAAACCGGTCTGAATGCTGCTTTAGAAAAAGAAAGTCTGATTTTGTGTGATTTACAGAAAATTGAAGATGAGTGCCATTTTGTTTTTCATTGTTCCTTGCACTGGAAGCTTTATCATCTTTTGTTTAAAGCTATAAAAGGATGCGACTGAGACGATGAGACCAACACGCTGCTGGAAGCTGCTTCCTTGAAGGTAGAAAACGAGATAATGTCTGATGTAAAGGTGTCTAACTATATAATCCCACGAGGGACGGGCCACAGAAAGGCATGGCACTCGAGTGAAATTCGATTCATTCATTCAATAAGCGCCTGGCTCTCCTACAGCTGTATTAGAGCTATATTAGGTTACCGCTAAAGCAAACCAAACGCTTCCAACTGCTGCTGCTTCACATTAAGACGTTAAAAACAGGAGGCGGAGGGACGGCTTCCTTGTTAAACGCTCACACGAACGGCACCGGGTGTGTTTTAAATATTGCAGGCAGTAATGAAGCAAGAAAAGTCGAGTCAGTTAGATGATGCACACCTCCAACTAAGACACCCAACTTTACTTTCTGCAGCTCTCATGTAGAGCTGCTCTCACTACAAACTTCTTTGTGTCGTGAAATCGGACCACATTTGCCCACAGCGAGATGAAAAAGCCCAATTATCGACAGGTTCTTTATTAAACTGGGGAAAGTTTGTCTGGCCTTGCTGGAAACAGATACAGCTGTTTCTCTTCGGGTGTATTTCTGACAAAGTGAAGGAATGATTGCTGCACACACATTTCTGGGCCCCGCGGTAAACAGCGGCTGTGGACATCGGCAGCTCATTATGGCCGTTCTGTGCATTTCACTGGTGTGGGCTAATGGTTGCGGCTGAGAGTGACCTCCCACACCACATTTAAACAGCAAGAAGTGCAGTCTGAGCATTCAGTCTGTGCCCCGAAAGCCGGAGAATTTAAAGCATTTTATTATGTTCGTCACCTAATTTCTGTGTGAGTCTGTGCTGCTCTCATTTGCTTTTCCTGTGTCTGTTCTGCTCCAGTCTGTCTGTTTCACCTGCTGTGTGTCGCAGGTTGACGACGACACGTTACAGTCGCTCACACGATCACACTTGGCCCCTCAAATATTTAGAAACTGCAGGGTGGTGCAGTTAGTAGCACTGTTGCCTCGCAGCAAGACGGTCGCCGGTTCGCGTCCCGGTGAGGACACCCGGAATCTTTCTGCGTGGAGTCTCCATGTTCTCCCCGTGCAGCGTGGGTTCTCTCCGGGTTCTCCGGCTTCCTCCCACAAGGTCCAAAAACATGCTGAGGTTAATTGGTGATTCTAAACTGTCCGTAGGTGTGAATGTGAGTGTGCTTGGTTGTCTGTCTCTAAGTGTAGCCCTGTGATAGACTGGTTACCTGTCCAGGTGAACCTGCCTTCACCTTAAGTCAGCTGGGATAGACTCCAGCCCCCCATGACCCTAGTGAGGATTAAGCGGTGTATAGATAATGGATGGATGGATGTTGTGAAACAGTTTTTTCTTTCTTTTCGATCAGTGCAACGCAGCAGGTTTTATTAATCAAATTACTGATGAAGGGTTTATTCGCCAAGATAAAGCGAGAAATGTGATATTTCTACGACAGGATGGTAGATGTGAACAGATAGGAGGCTTGAAGAGCGGCAGGGAAGGACTGATTACTGAATAGAAGACACGAGGCTCAGTGAAATTGAAATTGGAAGGACTATTTCAATCATTCTTCTCACAACACTGGAGTCACCAGCGTCAGATGTTTTTCCCTCTCTTGTCTGGTTGATTTTATTTTGGCGACTGGAAAATTGCGTGAATAAACAGCCGAGTGCAAAAGTTCCACAGTGCAACTTTAAATGATAAAAGCAGTGCTTTGGTTTATAGGTTTATGCCAATCATCTATGGTTTCTCCCTCTTCTTTGTAATTCCTGCTGAGGTCTGCACACAGTCAGCACGGTTAGAAACACCAGAGCTCATTTTTCTGCCTTCAGAAGAAGCTATTTGCTGCCATTCATTTCTTGTAAAATATGAGAAACAGCTTCCACAGAGAGAGATAACCTGACACATTAAACAGGAAGCCTTTGTCTGGTTTGTCGCTCCAAGTTTTATTTCGCTGCTGCGTCCTATTGGAATAATTTTACATCAGTACTGGAACATTATGATACACTTTGCTTCCTGCCTGTCACAGTATTGAAGTATTAAATGAAAACAAACGCTGCTCGTTCTTTCCAAAAATGACTCATTAGACTGTCGCAAGAAAATCGTATTTATGGTCAAGTTTTATTTTAAGGTGCTGTATGTTGAAAAAACAAATATAACAGAAAACAACGTGCAGTCCAACGGTGAACAAGAAATATAAAATTAAAGCTTTTTATTTGTGTTATTAATTTATGTGCCCTTGTGTCATTTCCTCTCAGTGTGAGTCTCTGCTGCTGTTTCTCCTCTGCTGCTCTTTTTTCTGTCTGTTCTGCTCGGACCTGATTCTAAACACAGCTTTACTCCGGTCAGACGGCGGACCGTGTGGAACAAACACAAACGAAGGAGAATCAGAGTGACATTCAGTGTTTTTGAAATCGTGCATGCAGAACATTTAAGATCAAGTTGGGCTGAAGGTAAGATTGCAAACGAGGTTACAGAGAAATTATCGTTACGTGTTGGAAGGCGACGGGACACAGACTGTGGCCAACGTGAAACACTTTGCTCACCAGTCTTCTATTTAAGAGTTTCTACTGCGCTGTAACGGCTTCACGCTGACGAGGGAAGTCAATATTCACACGACCACAGGAGGTCGATTGTCAGGAAAACATAGAAGGACAGATTTACTGAGGCTTGCGTGGCAGTTTTATCAGATCGTGTACACAGTAGCGCTTGTGTGGTTGCAAGATCCGACCCTCTTCTTATTGCATATGCATTGGCGGAGATGCGTTAACAAAGGCTGACCGTATGTTCTGTTTCTCAGGTCACACAATTTGCAGCGGTCAGCTTTGCAAAGAAAATTCTTTAACTGTGTGAACCGGGTGGAAAAATTGCAAAGATAAGATTTAGAAGAAGTCACAAGAAAGGTTTTGGCTGAAAGCCTGACTTTCTATTTATTCTAAAGAAGTAAGAACTCAGATATTCAGTAGCTGCACCATAAAAATGTTCTGAAAGCTGCTCGGTATCAGTTATCTAACAGTAAAAAAGTCAAATTATTACAAGCTGAGTTCTTTTAAAGAAAAATGCACCAATAAGAGACTTCGGTTTGAACTCAACAGTGATTGTACTGTAGAATCACTACAGTATGTGTTGCATGTGACTGCAGGTCTCTGAGGTTAAACATCTGCCACATCAACACCATCCGTCCCTTCACCGGCTGCAGTCTGAGCTGATGAACCTGCTGCTTTGACCATCCAACGTTTTTTGTGGCTCATAGATGTTTTGTGTCTCGTGCTCATTTTCTACAAAGTTTCTTGGTCTTCTCTAACAACAACAACAACAACAACAACAACAACAACAACAACAACAACAGAGGTAGCTGAGTAGCTGAGCATTTGTTTTTTTCAAATGGAAAATAGTCTTCACTAACTTACTGTCAGTTGTTACCTGTTGTGACATCAGGGCCTATGTTATACACCAGGCGTGTCGAATCCTGGTCCTCGAGGGCCACAGTCCTGCATGTTTTAGATGTTTCCTTCTTCCAACACACCTGATTCAAATGATCAGCTCATCATCAAGCTCTGCAGAAGCCTGATAACGATCCTGATCATTTGAATCAGGCGTGTTGGAAGAGGGAAGCATCTAAAACATGCAGGATTGCGGCCCTCGAGGACCAGGATTCGACACCCGTGTTATACACGGTGAAACCGAATTCACCAACCTCCAAAATATTTATTGTTCTGTTCTATTTCTTGCTCTCCATCTGCTATCCTGCAATATCCGCCCCCTCATCCCCACTCTTACCCCAACCAGTCGAGGCAGATGGCCGCCCTTCCTGAGCCTGGTTCTGCCGGAGTATTTTTTTTGGTCTCCCTTCCCATTGGGTTGTTTTTTTTTTTTTTTTCGATTCCTTCCCACCGTTGCCAACTGCTTGCTCAGAGGGAGACCAAATGCAACTTTGGATTGTTGGGTTCTCTGTTTAAAAGTCACATCACCTTATGATGTGAAGCGCTGTGAGATGTTGTGAACTGCGCTGTATAAATAAAATTGAATTGAATAAAAACCTGAAGTGAACACATCTGGAAATGTTCTATGCAAGTGAACCTCCAGTTCCAGAGCAAAATGAGTACAACGGTATTTGAAATTAGTTCTGGCACAGAAAACCCGCCCAGTTTATGTACGTCTGCAGCTGCTTTAATCAGAATCAAACATTTACAACGTGGTGTTGCATTGCTATTTCACCTGAAATTTCCACAAACAGTAAAACATAGCGTTGTTTTTGCAGAAATATTTTTGCTGTTCTAGTTTTCTCCACCGTATAAGCGGCTTGGGTATATTTTTAGACACACCTGCACCGGCTCTTCTTGTTGAAGTTGCAGGCCAAGAGGTTGGGGTGAGTCAGGCGGCAGGAGTGAGCTGCTGGTGAACTGAGAACAGCTCGGCAAACTCTGGCTGCAGTCTTTGTAGCGGGTTTGCTGCTAATAAAGTTAATGTTGTCTCCAAGATCTGCCTCAGTGTCTGCAGGTGCGTGGAGACCGCGCTGCTGCCAGCGTTCAACTTTGGCCTCCGCAACCCTTTTCAAAAAGCAGCATAATGATATTTGGACAATAACAAACTGAGGTTGTTTAGCTTCAGCGAGAGGCAACCAACCAGCGCGGACAGACACGGCTTCAATCACTGTTTTGCTGAGTGCACTGCAGAATGCAACTGATCACATATTCACCGTTTAGATTTTAACAAAGGGTGCAAAATATTAAACCGAAGGTGCAATGCGTGCACCCCTGCAGAAGTCATGTCCTCGGAATATATGAAATTTAAACTGATGTCAAGTCAGTCGCGTATGCCCACAAACTACCAAGAGCCCCTCAATAAAAATATACACCTGAAAATATGCATGATGTGTCCTGTTTATGTTTGTCTCCAGATGTCAAATCCAGAGTCAGCCCATGAGCTGACTGCGCAATGAGTTGCTGACTTAGTGAATCAAGGACTAATTCACACACATGGCGACCAAAGTCAACGTTGCCGGGGAGTAAATCTAAGCCAGGCATTTACATCTAGTTTTGTTGACAGGCACGGAACAGGCCTGCAAACACAATGGATGTATGTGCGACCCTTGTTGTATCTCGTTTATTATAACAACATAGATGTGAATGTGTTGCTGTATCAGACGTAGGCAGTCATAAATGTGCTCTAACTCAAAATGACACCATTAAGTCTGAAAATGCAACTGAATACTGTGCACATCCATTTGCAAGAAAAAAAAACTGCCTTTCCAGTTGCTCCTAAACTGTAAATAATACTCATTCCCCAGCCGAACAGGAATGCACAACATCCCACACACACACACATAAATGTGCACAAACATTTGGAAGCGGGTTACCTGGGAGGCCCTGGAACAGGTGTCCCTCTTCCACGGGCGGCTGACTTGCCCCTCACCGACGGCACCTTGGCATCCTCCGATCCGCCGTTCAGGTATGTGAGCTCCTGCAGCTGGGCCTGTCTGATCTCATCATTGTAATCCTGCACACAGAGAGGCATCATGTTCACACACACACACACACACACACACACACGGACGGCAATAGACTCGCTTTCAATTACACTGTATTAAATTACGTCCTTTATCTCCAGGGCTACAGCCCCGGGAATATCTAATTAATGTACTTTACAGTACTGCCGTGACCGCTGTTCCTGAGGCAGCAAAACATTTCAGATCTCCCGTTGATAAATCCTCAGGACCCCATTCGCCTTTATCTTCTCGCGCGCAGTTGTGTTTTTTTTTGCGGCTAAATTAAAACACATAATTAATATGGAAATAGGTCTTTAATCACAAAATGACTGATATGATTGTCATGTGTCGGCTCTATCAATAAATATGTTTTATGGCAACAGTGAGGGGAGCTACCAGGGAAGGAGGGGTGTTGGAGGGGTCTGCCGATAATTAATGATGAGATGTAAATCATCATAGCTCTGAGCGCTGGAGAGATCATCCATAATGAATGGAGGAAGAGTAAATAAGCTCCATGCTGCATGCTGCTGCCAAGGAGGGTTGGCCCATGCAGAGAGATTCCCCCCTGCGCTCTTTTATTCCTCTTATACCCACCACTTCCCACACAGGATCACACACGCTGAACCAAATGTTGGCCACACACACACACACACACAGACTGACAAAATTACAGTACAAGTTACAGACAAAGAGAGTGAAAGAAAAAGTGACTCGTCTCCGCTGTTGGCTTCACTGTGGACGGGCTGAAAATGAGCCGGCCGGGGCCAAAGAGCAGCCGAACAGAGATTCTGGAGGAGAACGAGGAAAAGCTGGAGGGAGTGTGTTTGTGTACGACTGTGTGTTTGTGTGGTGAGAGCAAAGGGAGGGAGCACACCGGTATGAGAAACTTTTTGATCTCCTCCAGAGCGTGACCCATCCTGGCGTAGGCCTCTGCTGGCGGGGCGAACACCTCGATGAGGACGTGCAGGTCTTCGTTCAGGTGGTGGTATTTGGCCTCGCCGCTCTGCCGTAGCTCTTCCTCCTGAAAAAGACAACGGTTTGGTGTCATACGTCTTCCGTCTAGGGAATGAGGATGAGCTAACTGTCACAGCGAGGAACATTTATCTTTTTTTTTTTTCTTTAAGGATTTACTGTGGAGACTTTTTTTTTTTTCTGTAACTGTTCACATAATGAGGTTTGATGCTTCGGTGCTGCAGAGCTACCAAACGACAGACAGAAAATATTTATGTGGCCTGTTGTAAACTCCTGCAAACAGGCATTCCTTACAATCTTTTCAACTGCGGCTGTCACATTTAACGGATTGCCTTTGTCCTCACGCAGCTGCCTGTCTTCACAACAAATGCACCGATGATGTACTGTGCTTACTTCACCGTCGTATCTTCGGGGGCTTGTTGAATTTTAGCTCATCTGAGCGAGTGCTGTAAGTTCATTAAAGTAAATTCAGCAACTCTGGGAGGAAAGGGAAGTCCTGGTTTAAGCTCGATCAGGTGCAATACTGATTTCTGGAAATCAAAAAAGAAAAAAAAAGAAAAACACCGGCTGATTTAGATACAGAAGTTTACGAAGTTTGGAAATAAAGATCATCTGTCGGGGATGATTCAGTCAAACAGTGGCTGAACATTTGTTTTCAGACGACCTAAATAAATTGGTCACTTTACTTAGTGTTGGTGGATTTTTGGTGCAATTTGACCCACGTCAGCAGCATCTTATGCAACTCAAGTAAGTTCAGTGACTCATTTTTGCATCTTTATCAACAGAAAATCTATAATAAAAGACATCAGGATACCAGACATACATGCACAGCAGGAGACTCCTGGGAGGTGAAGCATCATTAAAAAAAAAAAACAGTTCATTCATGCAAACTCCTGCAAAACACGTTTAGATACCAAGAATTGATTTTGCCGAGTACTTTGCCTTTCCTCTGCAGATGGCAATGTCTGTCAGTCCACCTGTCTGAAACTTTCTATTAGGTGAAAGTCCAGATGTGTCCTGAGGTTTCATTCTTTACACCTGCCATTGCTTGCAGGTCACGATAATCAGTAAATATCTTTGCACCAACAATATGGTTAAATGTGTTCCTTAGGAGATGCACTGGGATGGATATTCACAGTAAACTTTGGTGATCTTTTGGGGATGTTTATCTCGTGCTATCACTGGCACAAATTTATCAAACATTTTGATTAAGGTGACATCTTTTTTTGTTGTTGTTAAAAATCAGAAAAGTCCAAATCTACAGATAGGCAGATTACTTTCATATGTGACGAAAGCAGCATCAGATCCTCTTCCTGGAGATGCTACAAACACTGTTGTGATTTTGTGGAGAAGTGCTTCAGCAGAGGAAAATGAATTTTACTGTGGAGGCTTCTTTTGAGTGCAAACCATTTGGAAGCTTTGTCATATGGTGCAACACAGGCAAAGGCATTTAAATGTGTGTTTGTTTTTGTTTTTTTGCTTTGGATGGCATTCAGATCTGGTTTTACACCTGTTACACAGAAATCTGTGGTGCTGATTTAAACGGTCAAACAAATTAGATGCGTTGCTTCATGACACTGACACAAGCTGAAATACTTCCACACCAGACGAGGGCTGCAGGATCACGACTAAAGTAATAATGAGGATTATTCTGATCAATATAATGATCATCATTACCCTGTTGATTATAATTATTCATTGATTTTAAGATATTTTTACATTCCTGCTAATGCACAAGTCCACATCAAAATAAGACTTAAAGCAAATGTTTTACACCTGAATCCAGTGCCTCTCCTAAAGGCAAAATATGAATAAAACTGTAATCAAAACGCTCGACTTAATGATGATTTGCTTCACGATGGACACCAAAAGCCACACATCCAGCCCAAAAGAACAACGGGACAGGTGACTGCAGCACTGTGCACAGACAAGCCTCTAGTCTCCACTCAGCTACTGCAGGAAATAACACAGGTGTGCAACCAAACACGACTTAGACAAGAGTGAAATAAGACGATCTAACCTCAGATTTACCCGAAGTGAAGCTGAGCGATTGTATTTACATGCAGAGCATTTAAAATGTCAACATCACAGTTGATCATGTTCATTTACTTATGCGAAGGCAGGATTGCGATCACAATTAATACTCCAGCCTTGATTTTTTCTCTCCTGTTCCTTTTGCTGCACACGTGTGAAGTCTGCATGAAAACAAAGTCTGTCTTGTATGCAAAGTGTGAAAATACTTTTCAAAAAATAAGCCCTTAAAAATTAAAAGCAAGTGATGGTCACCCTGACAAATTTATCTGGTAGATAAGTTATTAAATATGACAACTGTGTGACTTTTCTTTTTCCGTCAAGCAGAAAGAAAAGTTCTAATTAATTAGTTTAACTTGTATTGCAGCCGTCTGACAAAGAGTTTAACCTGTGGTGGAGGTGGTCTGACACACTCATACCATCCTTTTGATTGTTATCATGTGCAAATGCTCCATCGCATGCTTTAAATCTATGATCTAGTAGAATGTATAATCTGAATATTGAATTAAACCTTGACTTTAAGAAAAATGCAGGACGAATATCTGTCAGAAAAAAAATAACAAAAATAGATATAGATATTGATATTTCACTCCAAACCACAGATGTTCACCTCAGGCCAGTGTGAGGGATCACTGAAGCTGTTAGGATTCATTCTCTAGCGACTACAACTGAAAAATATTCAAGACAATCCACAAGTTATTTTCAACCTGGACCCAAGTGAACCATTTGGACCGAGCATATTGCATTTCCCTACAAAATGCACCATTTTGCTGTGTATGAATTCACAAGGACATAAAGCTGAGTGTCCATCTTTTCAGATGCTGTTATCAGGAACACATGGAATGTGTTTAACTACATTTTTTACATACTGCAAGATGTCGATCAGCTTGTCAGGTCAGATATGTGATGTTTGACAGCGCCGGCAGCGTCTGTTGAAAACAACTGGTGTATTAGAATTACATTTCACATGGCGTCCTTATGTCCCTGCATCACACTCTAACCCTGCAACACATTTTCTGTGCCTGGTGCACAGGCCTGAAAGAGCATTCATTTGCTGTTTAGTTCCACTCAGACCCCTGAAAGCAGAGCAGATGTAACTGGCTCATTTCCACCCCTACCTGCGGAAGCACGGTGCATTTAGGCTGCAACAGCAAAGTGTTCCACGTAAACAGAGATGGGCTGCGCAGGCCATTCAGTCCCGACAGAAGCAGGCCAGTGTAACGTTATTGATGGGGAGAAATAGGACAGCAAAACCCCCAAATGTCTCCCACCACATTGCACAAAGGAAACAACAGGTTTGGCGTCCCAGTTTCTCCTTTTCAATGAAAAAAAAAAAAAAAAAGTCTTCTCTGGGGCCTCTCCAATGGCGTCAACTTCCGCTTCCCCTCTCCCTCTCCAGCACCATGCAAACCAGTGTCTCTGATGTCACCTAATTATAAATAACCTTCTTTTAAGAGTGCCTGTGGTATGTTAATGATATGTTAATTTCCCCCATAAATCTGTGCTTTACGAGCAGAGGGCTCCTTTGCGCATAACGCCGGAGCTGCCGGAGCTGCCGGAGCTGCTGGTGTTGAGAAGGGAGTGTGAGCAGGGTGTTGGGAAGAAGACAACCGCTTGTAGAACTGTCTCCCCTTTCATGTGGGATATTTGCATGAAGAAATGTATGAAAAACAATCATTGCTGGAACTAAAGAAGCCCAAAAAACACAAGTCAAATGTTAGCATGTCTCATCTAATGACTGTCTATCTAAGCGCTGGTCTTCCACTCCATCTATAATGTATATTATCATGTGCAAAGTACACCTAGTTTTCTATTAAACCAGGCCGAATGTGTGACCGCGTCATTTGCATACGATATTGTGGCACTTTTCATACATGAGGTGGCCTCTCTCTCAGCGCTGATAAGAAGCATCCAGCAGAGTCCTATAGCAGCTAAGCAGCCCACAGCGGGAGATTACAGCTGTCTGTTTTTCATATCTATTGGCAGCATCTTCCTTCTGTTTACATTTTTTTTTTCTCTCTGTAAATCTGCTTATGAAAAGCCGTTCACCCTGGAAACGGAGGGCCACGGCTCTCTGGACGCAGGAGCCTCCAGCAGCCAGAGCTTAGAGGTAAAAGAACAACGTCGAGCTGCGAGTATTTATTTAAAATTCACATTCAAAGGAAGGACGGATGTGAAAATTCTGCTCTTCTGTTCGTGCGGCAGGTGACGGAGCCGCTCAGGTGATGAGCCGCGAGGCGCTATCGGCCCTGTTCATCTGCACTTCTGTCAGCTTACAAACACAAAGACCAGATTTCCTCTTTAACATGACAAACGTGTATATTCTGAGGGAACGTATCTCTCTGCAATAGCTGTCTTAACGCAGCAACACTCAGCTGTGCCTGCACCACAAAGAGAGCATATCTGTCTCAGCCATCCTTTTCTAAATACTGGTGAAATGAAGAACTGATAAAAAAAAAGATTATTTTGTGTGATTTAAAAACACTGCATGGACTGGTACCAGTTTATATCTCACATCCAGATCCCTCAGAGCTCCTGCCCAAGCACTGCTCTTTGTTTTACAGACTGTTCTGAAATGTTCAGTTGTTGCCTCGTTGTTTATTAAAAGATTTTTTTCCTGTCCATCTTTGACCAACGTTGTCCTTTGCTTTTTGAATGTTGAATCATATTAGTATTGTTTAGCTAAAAAAATATGCAAAATGTCATCATTCATTCATTTAAAGTCATACGATTGCTATAAATTTGCAAATGTTATTGTATTTGTGGCTTATTTGATGGCTGTTTTTTTGTAAAATATTAATTTCTTAACAGATGTGACCACAGCTAGCATAAGTCCTCACATAAAACACTTTTTCTTTCTTTTAGGTATTTTGGTTTTTTTAGCCCCATATAGTCCAGACTGAAATACTTTAGGTATTATGAATAATATCAAATTTGGAACAGGCGTTTCGGATGAATTGGAAATTTTTCATTACAGCAGGTTTCAATTTGCCCTGTCGTCACCATTTGTTAAATTTT